TGTGGCCCACTGTGAAGTATAGTTCTGGGCCTGGGAGTTTGGAATTTGAGTATTGGGCCTATTAGGCCATGTCGGGCCTTTTGAAATTATATTTTGGGCTAAGGACTTTTGGTATTGTAACGAACTCATTTGAGGAATATGGCCCAATTCAGAAAATTGGGCCATTAGTGGGTCTTAGGGAGCCTTTGATGGGTCATGGGTGCACTGGGTATAATAAGTTAGAATTGGGCCTTATGAATGGTTCAAATTAGGCCAATGGGGTAAAATGGTCATTTTACCCTAAGTAGTGTTATAGATTCTGATTGAGTGTTATTGTGATTATGATAGCCGAGAGTCATTGGAGCAGCTGTTAGAGATTACTTTCCCTGAGATTCGACACTCAGCTTTACGAGGTGAGTTACCTTCCAGTAGAAGTGGGTCTAAGGCCACAATGCCGGCCCACTAGTAGGAGCTTGTAGTTAGATGATTGTCTGTGTGATAACTGTCTGGTATGCCACTATCTGTTATGTTCCATGTGCCAGTATGCTATGATTCTATGTGGTAGTGGTAGGGGTGAAATAGTCCCCGATATCCGGTTGAAATGGACCGAAGGGGAGGCCAGCACCCAGATATGCTAGGATGTTATCCGATTGAAATAGACCGAAGGGGAGGCCAACACCCAGATATGCTAGGCAATTATCCGGTTGAAATAGACCGAAGGGGAGGCCGACACCCAGATATGCCTGGCTAGATATGTTATTGTATGGTATGTGGTATGATGGGGGACCTCACTAAGCTTCGTGCTTACAGTTTTCAGTTTTGGTTTCATGTACATCTTCCTCACGGGGAAAGGAGTCGTCTTGACTGCAGCACATTACACACATGATTTCCGCACTATGATGTTCTTGGGATTGTACTCTGATATTATTACTGTTTCATGACATATTTTATGACATTTGACATATGGGTTTATGGGTTCGATATTATACCGATGAAGTTTTTCAGTAAACTATTTTATAAGTTACTTAATTAAAAACAAAATTTTTGGTCTTGGAAATTGGGATGTTACAAACTCATAGTTTTTGGTTTTATCTAGCTAAACGAAAGTCTACTAAGTTAGCTACTCATGACAGTAATCATACACAAAAACACAATAGGAATAAAGCTAAACATGATCAAACCGAATGTGTAGTGTGTTATCTTGATTGGATCTTCAAATCTCTTAACTTCAATCGATCTCTTCTTCGAAAGTATGTTTTTCGCACTTTTTTGACCTCTAAATTCAATTACCTCTCCAAAATATTCGATTCCCACCTCTCAAGTCGAATGCATAAATTCTGTTTATAGTTTTTCTTAAATCGATCCTCACATCGTGAGAATTAAGGTCTCACATTGTTAGCTAGTATCAGTCCATATTTGGCAAGGAAACTTGGCTTCCGCGTAGCTAGTTTCTAGAAGAATCAATCTCACGTCGTGATATTATACTCATCACGCCGTGAGAACTAGGAATTAGCATTTGGCACAACAACAAAAGTCATTCGAAAGTTTGTTTAGTTTTCAAATCTTTTTGAATCTCTTCAATCGGAGTTACGAGTAATGAGATGTGGTTAAAATACTGACGAGGGGTGAAGCTGTCCAACAACATCCTTTTTGTATCTTTTTTCAGCTCCAGTCCTCCAAGTATCCAGCTTTTGTCGGTTTCGGTCATTTTCTTCGAGAATGTCCACTTTTTTCTGTGAAATACAATTTAAACATTATAAGTACCAAATATCTTTGCAATTAACCAAATTATAGCTTAAAATGTATTAAAATACTGCCTATAAATGTGTATAAATATGGCATTATCAACTGTATATATATATATGTAAGATGAAAGTAACTATACACTCACTTGTTGAAAGTGGATGACTGATGATTTTGGCAGAGCTTCGCCTAACACCTTAGGTTTTCCTGTTGACGCTACCTAGGTACGGATATCACTAAGTCTTAGTCTTATATTCACTGTGACTAATGATAGTCTAAATTCCTCACTAATCTAATGTCTACATCAAGATCTATCAAGTAAAGAACAACCAGGTAGGATCATATCCGAGCTAAGGTCCGTTTAGTATACATAGTATACTGTTTGGAAATCCCTCTTTAAACACCTTACTAATTCCAGCCTAGATATCATCCCCGTAAGTAGATCAATCAGTATAATGAATTGGAATCACCGATAAATCTTATTTATAGCTTCATAATAACGACTATGAACATAAATATAAGTTACGCTTGAAATAAAATAAGTATAGCTTAACTTATAGGATTTTTAGCAAAAACTGGGAAATTACGCGGGCAGAATTCTGACCCAAAAGCTTCTCTTTGTTGGGCTTCTAAATATCTCAAAGCCTCATTAAAATTTTCAAAGATTCGGACAAGTTGGACTTAAAGAAAGAAAAGGCGTTTGAGAGAGAGAGGATTAATTTGTGTGGGAAGAATGCTGAAAATTGAAGGTATTTATAGGATTTTCTGGGGGCCGCGTCGCATTTGGTGACGTGGCCACTTCCCCCTTCTACCACATGTCGCCTTGTGTGTCATCTGTGTCCTTTGCTTCTAGAACATACCACGTGGCCAATTCTCGTAGAGCCATGTGTCACATCCATATCTAGCCATGTCGCCTTGTCTCTCGGAGGAGGGGGTTTCCGACCGTGCCACGTGGTGCCTCCTTGTGGTGCCATTTCATCATAATAGGTAAATTTTCATAAATCTTCAAATGACCATAACATTCACATACGATCTCTGTTTTTGACGTTCTTAATATCCTCGAAATCCTCTCGACGAGCTCTACAACTTTCATTAAGGTCTCAACATCTAATTCTTACTCTAACTAAAATTCATATTTAGACCGATTTAGACTGCTAAAGTTCGTGCAGAATTCATAACTTCTTTGTACGAACTCCATTCTCGGCTGTCTTTATATTGACGGATTTATATTTATGAGATTTTCAATTCTCGTTTAGATTATTTTGGCTAACAGTTAACCAATTTGAATTTCGATTTCTATATCCGCACTACTGCGCTGAACTTCGAAAAATCACAACTTTCTCAAATGAAGTCAGATTTGGACGTTCTCTATATGCATGCTCTAGGTTTTACCATTAGTACGACTTTAATTTAGATTACTTAGACTAATAAGCAACATATTGAAAGTTCACTTTTTACGACGCGCATGGTCGTGTCGGTTTAATCACGAAACTTCGAAGAAGCATAACTTCTTTATACGAGGTCGGATTTCAAAGTTCTTTACATGTACGGAATCCTTGATACATATACTATAGCTTTGGTTAAGGTTATTTATCCTAAATAACCTTCTATCAAAACTTTTTTATCACTTATTTTATTTTAATTGTCTAACCCGAAGTTGCGGACGATACAGTTATCTCCCTATTAGGATGATTACGTCCCAGAATCATCAACATAACAAGGCTTGTATAATGACTCGTACGTTACTTTTCCATCCTAGGCAGTAATTGTAAATCTTGTCTATTTAAAAGAGTTTCTAACTCTTGGACTTCTCGATAGCTGTTGGTGCTCAATCTTACACATACTCTTCATTCTAAATTCGATCTTCATCGGAGACTCTTGCTCATTCTAGGACATACTTAACTTATGATAATGTCTTTACTTTGACTACCATAACAGACCGAATGGTCGTGCTCTAATGATCTTTCATCGTATGATGCAATGGCTAGAATTAGGTTTCTTGGAGTTAGATTCTAGCATAAAAAATATCTCGCTTCATGATCTAATGTGACATAAAAACATCATATTAGGTAGCATTTCTAGCTACAAGCTGCTTAGTCTTAACGACCATGATACTTATATTGATCTCTTCGATTATCCTTTCCTTCAATCTTTTAATTAAAGTCGGACGCTACATCGATCATGGTTCTCTGAACCGATTAACTTACCTTGCAGACTCATTCCCAAGTCGGAATCGATTTGATATGACCATTAGGGTTGAAATAACAGTTATAGGCCTGAAAAACACTCTACTTTTTTACCTTTTACCTAGGGCAAAACCTTCTTTTATATTATTCAATATCTCAGCGTATATTTACTTGAACAATGACATCTCTAATGTGACTAATGTCAATATGATTCATTCTCTCATGGAACATTAAATCATTTATAAATTATATAACATTTTCACCGTTATAGATAATATTTCAAGATAAATCACAATAATGCTCATTATGTCCGGGTGAGAGCAATTCCAAGATAGGTGACCCACTAGGATGTTTTCACGTTGCCCACAGTAGACATTATTGTGGTACGTGCCTTTAGGGGATGTTACAACTTCCATTTTAGTCCAATCAGTGATATGATTATTCACTATTTTGGATAAAACCGAATAATCTACTTAGACAATTTGGATTGGATTATTTGGTTCAGATCTTCATATTTTGGGATTGGTTTTCCACAAAAGCGAATTATTATTTTGGATTTCTAATTGGTTTTGGTTTATAAAGTAAGAACTGAATAGTCCAAAAAAGTCGAATAACAACTTTATTATTTATTTATTTTTAATATATATATATATATATATATATATATATATATATATATATATATATATATATATAGAGAGAGAGAGAGAGAGAGAGATATGTTCAGGTGTTTAATGTATCTATTGTGTTATTGTATGCATAAATATGGGCCAATCAAAATTTAAAATAAAAATAAATAATTAAATAAATCAATGAGGGTTATTTAGTAATTTGATAAAGGAATTCTATAAATAGTCCCTTTATTTTAGGGATCCGTTTATTATTAACCCTATTAAAATCAACCTACACCGTAATAGGATCACACCGGTGAACTAAATCCTAAATCCGCCTCTTTCTTCCTCTCTGCGTCGTAGGTCACTTTCGTCATTGTCTCCATCACCAATTAATCGTTCTCCTCGCCACTGCTTCTTCCGCCTAATACCGTTTACAGTTTCTGATGAAAATCAATGGCAGTGGCTCAATCTTCGTCGATCAATGAAGCATACTCGCCTCTCCCTTATCTTTACGCCGCCACCACTCAAGCTGCATCTCCCGCAGTCTTTTCCCCCAAACAAACCCTAGAATTCCCCCTCCGAACCCCCAAACTCTCCCACCGATCGACATTTCTCCGCCCCGTTGCCGCCGTCGCCAAGGGGAAGACGGAGCTTTTACGTGGAGGAGAAGACAGAGTTCGATGTTGTGATTGATGAGGTTCCTAGTAACACGAGGATTGCGATGATTAATGCCGTTAGAGCTTTGACGAGTCTGGCGCTTAAGGAGGCCAAAGAGCTTATTGAAGGACTTCCGAAGAAATTCAAGGAAGGAATATCGAGAGATGAAGCAGAAGAGGCTAAGAAACAACTTGAAGGAGATGGCGCAAAAATTTCGATTGTTTAGATCACGAATTTGTGGTAACTTTTTCTTTTTCATGTTTGCCTAATGCAATGTGTTATTAGTTCTTCAGTTTTGTAGTTGAAATTTATCATATTACGATTTCATGCCTTAATTTACTCTCGATACTATCTTCATTTTCTCTGTTAAATCCGATGATGTTAAATATTAATACCTCCTGTAACTGATTTATCCGAAGCTTTTGCTATATGTTCTTACGATTCTCTAAAGTATCTATTATGATGAACATTACGAGATAGCAATATATATATATATATATATATATATATATATATATATATATCATTATCATTTCATTATATACTTATAAAGGAATCATTTTTCCTTTCACCACATTCATTTGAAACTCCCATAACTTTTCAATTTCTTTCTAATAATGATTAAGTTGGTTAATAAGCTTAAATAAATATAAAACCTAAAGTGTAATCATATATAAACTAAATTTCAATATTAAAAGAATATATTTTCTTCTACTTATAAAGTTATGTTTTTCACTTTTAACATATTATACTTAGTTTATTAAGTCTAATATGTTGTTGTATGTAAACCATTATCATTTTAAAGCTATAACTTTTGAACAATTTGTATAAAATACTTAAATTGTTAATTTAAATATAACCTTATAGGATCAACTTAAATATAAATTTTAGTTCAACTTAAACAACAAAAAAAAATATTTTGTAAATAGTTAAAAATGATAAATTATAGTGTCTTTCTAATAATGATTATAAGTTGGTTAATAAGGTTAAATAAGTATCAAACCTAAAGTGTAATCATAAATAAACTAAATTTCAATATTAAAATAATATTTTTACTTCTACTTATAATGTTATGTCTTTAACTTTTAACAAAGTATACTTAATTTATTAGATTTATTATGTTGTTGTATGTAAACCATTATCAGTTTAAAGCTACAACTTTTGAACAGTTTGGGCAAAATACTTAATTTCTTAATTTAAATATAACATTACAGGGTCAACTTCAATATAAATTTTAGTTCCACTTAAAATACCCAAAGAATATTTTGTGAATAGTTAAAAGTGATAAATTGTAGTGTTAAATGCAAAAACTAAATTGTAATATCAATTTAACTAACATATTTCCTAAAGATATTTTTATAATCGTTAAAAGTTTTCAAATAAGTAGCTTAAAATAACTTACAATAACAATAGTTAAAAATAACTCTATATAAATGATTATATTGTTACCTTTAAAATAAAAAAAATGATGTTTTAAATAATTACAATGATCGAAATTAAAACGTTAAGCAAATAAATTTTAAAAAATTAATTAAATATAACAACAACTATAAATAATATTAAACCATATATTATATTTAATTTTATTCATGAGTAACCCGCGGGTAGAGACCATTCAAAAGATTGATATTATGCAGTCTTAATAGATGTATATATTATCATATAATTCAAAATAATCAATATATTATATCAACTTACTATACGAATTATTATATCAAATTTAACAACATTATTGTTATATTTAAAAAAACATATATTTGTAAATATTTCAGCTATATAGATGCTTATGCGCAACGTGCGGGCATTCGTCTAGTATACTTATAAAGGAATCATTTTTCCTTTCACCACATTCATTTGAAACTCCCATTCATTTTTCCTTTCACCACATTCATTTGAAACTCCCATGACTTTTCAATTTCTTTCTAATAATGATTATAAGTTGGTTAATAAGGTTAAATAAATATAAAACCTAAAGTGTAATCATATATAAACTAAATTTCAATATTAATATAATATAATTTCTTCAACTTATAAAGTTATGTTTTTAACTTTTAAGATATTATACTTAATTTATTAGATCTAATATGTTGTTGTATGTAAACCACTATCATTTTAAAGCTACAAATTTTGAACAATTTGTATAAAATACTTAAATTGTTAATTTAAATATAACCTTAGAGAATCAACTTAAATATAAATTTTAGTTTAACTTAAACAACCTAAAGAATATTTTGTAAGTTGTTAAAATTGATAAATTGTAGTGTCTTTCTAATAATGATTATAAGTTGGTTAATAAGGTTAAATGAGTATCAAACCTAAAGTGTAATCATAAATAAACTAAATTTCAATATTAAAATAATATTTTTACTTCTACTTATAAAGTTATGTCTTTAACTTTTAACATATTATACTTAATTTATTAGATTTAATATGTTGTTGTATGTAAACCATTAGCAGTTTAAAGCTACAAGTTTTGAACAGTTTGGACAAAATACTTAAATTGTTAATTTAAATATAACATTACAGGGTCAACTTCAATATAAATTTCAGTTTCACTTAAAAAAACTCAAAGAATATTTTGTGAATAGTTAAAGGTGATAAATTGTAGTGCTAAATGTAACTAAAATATTTCCTAATTATATTTTTATAATCATTAAAAGTTTATAAATAAGTAGCTTAAATTAACTTACGATAACAATAGTTAAAAATAACTCTATATAAATGATTATATTGTTACCTTTAAAATAAAAAAAATGTTTGGTATTTTAAATAATTACAATCATAGAAATTAAAACATTAAGCAAATAAATTTTAAAAAATTAATTAACAATAACAACAACTATAAATAACATTAAACCATATATTATATATATATATATATATATATATATATATATATATATATATATATATATATATATATATATATATATATCTCCGAAGCTGTGGTTGCTTCATTTGACAGAAAAGAGTAGGAAGAACAATGGTGATGATCTCTTCTTTGATTGGGTATGTTTCTTTTGATTGGGTTTTACAAGTTAAATAGATAAAAAAAATCAATTATTTGGATGATCTTATTGTATAGTTGTGAATTTTGATAGATATGAAGTACATTGTGATCTAAGGGAAAGAAAACATAAACGTGTGGTACAATTCTTGAGATTGACATGAAGAAGATAAAAAGAATCATGAATTCCAATTCTGTTGGAATGGAATCATGAATTCCAATTTTGTTGGAATCTAAACTACAATTTGGTTTTGTTTTGACAGAAGTTGATGCTTGAAGAACGGACCGCAAATTTCAAAGTGATTCTAAGCATTCTCAGAGAATATTATTCTTACATGATTTGATTCATGGCAGTTATTTTCGTTAAATGTCTAATTTCATGGATGATCAAGGAAAGAGCTATTCTTCTGATAGAATAATCTACAATAGAATGATAGGAGTATATGTAATAATATATTCTGCTAGAATATTCAAGTCTAATAATATACATATTTTTATTTGTTATTAGTGAGTATTTCATTGTCACAGAATATTATATAATGTTTTTACTTTTTAAGAATGTAATGAAATATTTGAAGTTGTATCCAAAAATGTGTTATTAGTCGGTGTTGGCATTCTCATAGAATATCATTCTAATAGAAATATGTATCCTGAAATTCGTAGAGAATATGATTTTAACAGAATAAAATCGGGTTTAATTATAAAAATTATGTTATAATTAAAATTAAAGTAATTAAAAAAATTAGAATTTTAAAATCAAGAGAGTTAATTATCCCAAAAAATATGGAAATTTCCTTTTTTAAATTTATCTCAATTGTCTAAAATACCCTTAGAATGATATTAAATGGCATTTTTCAATTATCTTTAATTTAATAATATATATTAATCACTTTCTTAAATTAAGTAAAATGATTGGTCCACATTTATGCATACAATAACACAATAATTAGTTTAAATAGAATAACCTAAGCCTATATATATATATATATATATATATATATATATATATATATATATATATATATATATAATTATTTGTTAATTTGGTGATTCATTTTTTCAAATAGATTAGAAAAGTTTCATCTAATGAAAAACCTTAATATAAATTTTCTCTCAATAGTTTTTATCTATAAAATATTATACTATAATATATTTTTTTAGTAGCTGTTTATAAATTTTAAAGCAAATCTAAATAATTTGTTTTTATTTCTTCTATAAAGTAGGCTAGCATTTTAATTATATGTGGTTTTAAAATGTTTCGATTTTTGAAAACCGAATTATAAAACCGATCCAACTGAACTTTCATTTGGTTGGATCAGATCAGATTTGAATTTAATTCGGAATATTTGGATCCATGTTTTAAAAATCAAAATCAATTTAGATTCATTTGATTGGATCGGATAGAACCGATCCATCCAACGAACATCCCTATTCAATGATAGATTGAAAAGTAGCCTTCCAACTAACACCGTAGTCACCAACAACAAAGACATAACCTGTAATAGATATTCATTTGTGATGATCACATGCATAATTTAAAATACCATATATAAATAGTCTTAATGTCAGTTTCCCAAACTTCAAGAAGGAATTAGAAGAATATTTAAGATACATGAAGATCCAATGAACGCTTTTTTGGTGTTCCTTACCCAGGCTTGGCGTAAATCAACTTACAACACTCAAAGCATGAACTATATTAGGATAAGAGAAAACAATAACATACATCGATGATATAACATAACTGAAATAAGGAACACTATTCATGTAATCGATTTCTTTGTTGGTTTAAAGAGAATACTCGGATGATAATAAAAAATATACAACTAGTTGTATACTCAATGGCTTGACATCTTGCATAGCAAACTTGTATAAGATTTTTTTGATGTAACTTCTTTGACACATGTAGTTACCCAGTTGACCGATATCTTGAAATATTCATATATACCAAATGTTTTCTTGGCTTTACCCAAGTCATTCATTTCAATTTCATTGTTCAATTAGCCTTTTAGTTTCTTTAATGTAATGTTGTCTTTTACAACTATAATTATGTCAACAACATAGAGAACTAGATGAATGACATTACCCTTTACGACCTTAAGGTATACAAATATCATAATTTGACTTTTTACAACATTAAGAGATCATGAAAGTATTGAATTTATTGTACCATGGTATAAAGGTAGAATCATAGAAGAAGGATATTCTATAATAATAGTGCCCCATATAATATAACCTATTAGACTTCCTATGAT